CACCGAAGTCAGTCGGGGCGTGTCAACGGCAGGTTGGTTTTGGCGCAGCGCCAGCTTGTTTCGATTTCCGCTGCGACTTGAGGCGTTCAATGAGTGGTGACAAAAAAGCTGGCGTCTCGCGAAACCAACGCGTCGCTAGTTAGTTGACTCTGTTCCTCTACACTTCAGCAATGAGTCAACGAGGCTTTCCGGATGACGCGCACGACGCCACACGAAAAGTCATTTGGCAGCACCTCCGTAAGTCGGGTCACCTCACCGTACCCAGTTCTTGAGGTTTATATTTACTATTGGGAGTTAATGGCCAGCAGGAGGTCTTATCTTTACTGCAGATGAGCTCCTGCTCCCCAAACTACATGCACCTTGGGCACTATGTGCCTCGGGAGGGGTCGCTCTCCAGATTGGCTCAGCGCTGGGAAGGTAGCGTGTGTGGTTGTGAATAGGCTGTGTTAAAACAGGGTGCGATGTGAGAGTACCTGGACGAGTAGACATAACGTGGCTCAGCTCAACTGAAGGGTGGCCCCCACGAGGCATGTAGCGCCGTTTCTAGTCCCGAGCTCTATATTAGATAGAAAACTTGCAAATACCAGTACCTGTAGATTCGTGCAGGCCGTTGGGCTTCTGCATAGAAGAGCAAGCCTTTCCACGGGTGAATAACCACAGAGACGGGGTCGCGAAGATTCTTGAGCAGTTGACGATGCATAAGCTGATCTGGATGTACGAGGCCGGTGTCGGCGATCTTTACAACCTACAAAGAAACTTATCTGTTTCATAAGGTGGAACAAGACACAACACATCATCCTAGACGAAATCATCTCACTAACCCCTGAACTGGAATAAGACACCCTTTCGGCACGAAAACGTTTATGGGGTGTAAATATGGACTCTTACACGCCCATTTTTTTAGTAAACAGCCCTGTGAAAGTTTTTTAGCAACGCTTGTTTGTAGAGAAATGCCTTCTGACTCTTGATGGAACTTTCGAATTAGCAGCCAAGAAATCTATCCTGATATAGGTCTCGACGACCACTACGACATCGGGGGTCTTTGCCTTGTGGTGTGAAAATTTGGAAGGCCTAGACGTTTCCCACCTTTCAGTTACCACAGGAGTGTTGAAGTATGGCAATAAAAAAGGAAAGTTTAATTCAGGCAGAACTCGAACACCTCTCGCCTAGTCAGCTCCCTCCATCACATCACCAAAACTGTTTTCCACCCTATCGAGTGAACGGATGTTTCTGTTCCCAGTATAGTGGATAGTTTCCCAGACGACGGTTCTTCCCTGGATGAACACTGGAACTCTTGAGACGGCGAAAGCGCCGTATATCACCGTGCGTAATCTGTGAGGGAACTGTACCCAAGACCTTCTCCAGGAAATGAGATGACAAATGACGTGGTTATTTTTCCTTTCCTCACGGTAGGGTCTGAGTGATATCTCATCCGGCATTCTCACCTCTAAGCTGTTTCTGATGTTATCGATATAGTAAAGTTGCTTGCTGATCCAATCAAACGACATCGACACAAGGCCATCATTATGCGTTACCAGTACTGGTGCCGATCCTTCACCATCGGGACGAATCCTAAATGAGAATTAAATGCGAGGTAGATTGTCGGAGTGACTGTCTCCGTCTGGTCGTCAGCAAAGATGTGATTGAAGTCTTTCCAATCACCTTAATAATGCACTGGCGCTTCTCAGGGGGAAACCGTACACTCGCTGTCCGCGGATCCTGGTGTTTGCCAACCAATACACCCACTGTTGATTGGGTCCGGGCAGTGGCGGTAGCGGGCCACTCGTTTGCTCAAAAGCTCAGGGAATGGGGCTGGAAGGGTGGTGGGCACCCGGAATGCGTTTTCTATACTGCACTCCGCGCAGCCACACGCCTATGGTCAAACGCGCTACTCGTCTGCGCTCCTCTCTAAGCTCTGCGACTGGTTCACCACACTATTTGGTGCCAAGATCAGTGCTGGGCGGTGTGTCGGAGTATGGAGCCGGCAACTGATGTGTGAGGCGGCCATCTACAGACTTCCCATCCCGTGGCTTTTGAGCGGAGACGGCGGCGCACTACCCAGGGTACAGCATCGCGATTTGTGAAATGTCGGTGTCAGTATAGAAACGCATTCCGGGTAGCGACTCCTCTCCCTACTAGCGCTTTTCTACAAGTTTTCCAGGGCTCGCCTAGCTAGTTTTCCTGAGATTTCGCCTGTCTAAAACCGGTTACTATGTAACTATCAGAAATATTAAGTTTGCAAAGAACTTTGGCGTCGCCACCAACTAGGGTGGCGGGGGAAAAGGGAAAAATGACGAAACGTCAAAGCGAGAAGAAATTTTTTCCAACGCAGTAAATTCTTCCAAAGGCACACACACCCCCCCAACAAACGGCCCCCCAAATACGACCCTCCTCCGCCACCATTACCCCTGCCCCATGTGTTTCACTATACGATGTCCTGTACCTGGTGCTACCTGCAGAATACAGAGCCTTATTCGTCCGCGCATGGCAAGATCTTTCTTCGGATTCGAGGGCGTACAGTTTTGTCTTACCTGGCATAATTTTCCTAACATTATTTATTAGGGCCAATAAGTATTAGTTAACCGACCGGTATACGGTATTGTCCATGATGTCAGCATAGAAGAAGCTGTTCCCGTGTACATCACATTCCACCTCGAAATACATTCCAATACGTCGCTGAGAAATCGGCGAGATGGGCAGGATCGCTTCCGACAGCGAGTTCGAAACCTGTAAGGAGAGAGCTGCTGAATGTCGGTGAAATTTCAACCATGGAAATGTACCTGATCGGGAAATTACCCCGGACGAACGTTGCTCGAAAAAGGAGGTAATCGATTGCATCGACACATTTCTTTTCCTTCGAAGTGCAGTTTCGCAACATTCTATTCAAGTTATCGCACTTCTGTCCTAGAGGGAAGGGGGAAATGAATCGCGAAGTGAAGTAGATACAAAGAGTCGTCCCCGCAATCAGTCGGGCGGTGGCAGGTAGGGGCGAAATGAGCGCACCTCTGATAGCATCTTCCGACCAAATAGCGTCGGTAGCGAGTCAGATTGGAAGTGAAACAACCTAATCGGCGGAGCACGCGCGTGTTCCGGCCCCCCGCTCAAAAACCTTCTGAACCCGCTCCGGACTGACTGCGGTGATATCAACTGCAGGTTCCTGGAGAGAGCTATCACTTATTGGACCTAATGACCTACCTGGCCAATTGGGCAGGCACATGTGTACCCAACTCCGAAACCGCCGGCATCCTTTGACAGAATACACATGCCCTCACAGTCGGCTGTCGCACAAGGGTTATCAATCTTTTGCGCAAGACAATCGCTTTGAGATGGTCCTTAAACGAAAACTTATGAGTCTATGACTGCTAAGAGACCCAGAGCTATGTGCCTTGGAGGGGCATAAGACACGCCCATTCCTAGATTATCCTCGGGTCCTCTCAACAAAAGAGCGTTCAGTGGGGTCGCGATAACTATGAAAAGTTTTATGTGCGAAAGACCACCGCAATCTAGGCGAAGTTTGCAGATTACCCCTCCCAAAGCACATAGGCACACGTCAAACTTCATTGCGGAATTCAAGCCTTACCAGGTTGTGCCATGGGATGGTACGCAGAAATGCCCATAGGAAACACATTGTTCTCCTTGTTGGTCCTGAAACAGAAGTTCTTACACGAGAATTGTAAAAGCCGAGAGCTATTTATAGGAACTGCTAAAAAATCATGCTCTCCTGGCCAAAACAGAGCTCGGACCCGAGTTCGGCGACAAACAGGTGCGTTCTTGGTGAAAGCAGTGCTTTTAAAATAGTTGGTTCTGTTTACTGCAACACTTCCGCCTCGAATCAGTTATATTTAGTGCGGTGTGACGCATGCGACAGCGCCGCAACTCGGATCTCCTGACCAGCTAACACTGATAAAGCAAGGAGATAGCTAACCAGATGATTTCTGACGGTGAGCCAAACTTTTCGATCTTTACAACGCCGAGTCGGGTCCAGTCCGTCCAATACAAGTACTGATCGAATAGCGCCAAACCGAACGGATGTGGTACATTGTTCATTCCTTGTGAGACGATACGGCGATCATTACCCTGAAAAACTACTTTTTCGACAAAAGTTTTCATGAGTGCTGTCAGAAGAACCACCTCAGATTACCCAGAGCTCCCCGCTTTGGTTCCGCAACTTACAGTCTCGTTCGCTCTGTATGAAAGGGGCGTGGCAGTGGGACTAGGCTTGACACACCACCATCCCGTTCTCCATCAGCTGTTGAAGCGAGTGGCGACAACAACTGGTGGAAAACGACTAATACGAAAGATATGATTAGGTCTTGTCACCTGGCGAGGGAAAAAAAGTCTCAACGAATTGGCACCGCGCCAAACTCATCCTCCTTCGACAACTCCGTCATCCACAGCGAACAACACGGTAGCAGCGCTTTTTATATGTTAGCTCACTTGGAATCCCACATTTTAGCTCATGAAAATTTATATAATTTTCAGGGTGCCTTAAATTTTTGCTACCCAGGAAAAAAGCATCCAAGAAAATACATTAGGCCTTATGCTCCCATACAAGCAGATGAAGTTCGCCTTCAGAAGATTAAATCCTTTGGAAGATGGTGAGACCATACTGTGAGAAACCCCACCCCGGAAACCGATCAATGTTATTTGAATTGTCAAAAGAAAAAGTACCTGGTAATCGATACTTTCCACCCTGTCGACCTTTGGATCTACCCAGTACACTCGTCGTGCTGGAATGTCCACGACAATTCCAGAAACCTGAAAATCTTGACATTGATGAAAGCAAATTCGACGCTATTTCAGAGGCCCAAGTTGTGAGAAGGGGAATAGGGGGGGATGGTTACATGTCACGCCCATACCTGATGAGTATGGGTATTGATCAAAGTGCGACGTCGTGATCCGTCCATAGCAGCTCCCTCAACTTTAAACTGGTTGGTGAAGAACATTTCACTGAAAACTTACTGTGAATGAGGAAACTTGACAATATGAAAAATATTAAGTTCTATAACAAGAACAAAAACAGCAGTTATCATAAAAAACAGCTTCAAAAACTTGTAAAGCCTTCGGCCTCGCGGTTCATGCCGATATCTAACGATTACGGCTGACCGGCTCACCAAGTTAAACGTGTGAGTGCTGTAAGGCTACGGCATAAAAGCCGTTAAGCTGAGAGGGTAAAAGCGGCCCTGGTGGCGTAACGGATAGCGCACTCGCCCGGAAAGCGTGAGGTGCGGGTTCGACTCCCGCCTGGGGCACGACTTTTGCCCACAACTCAGCATTCTTGTGATAACTAAGTTCTATAGAATCTACTTGGGAGGGAGGATAGGTATGTCCTCGCTATGGTATTCCCTAAAGGCACATTCCACGCTGATGATGTTGGCAGGAGCCATGCTCACCATTGTGCCTTCCTCTCGCCACAGTATAATAAAAGCACACCAGTGAGGTGACGGCAGGCCCTCCCAGACAATCTGCGCAGAACGTGTTTTCAAGGTGTTGCGAAGCTTTGGAAACTCACCCTCTAAGAGGGTCCAGAGCGATATCAAGAGGTAGAGTAAGGCCATCAGCAAGGAGAACCGTTCGTCGATCACCATCAAAGGAGGAGACGTCGATACGACGAGAACCTGAATAAAGAAGGGTAGTGTAGTTGTTTCCGCTGCAGACGCTCGGGCGTGTCAGGTGGACTGGGTTAGGTGTGGCGCTATCCCGTCTTCCACCAATTGTTATCGCCTGCCGCCTTCAACAGTTGGTGGAGAACGGGCTGGCGCCGCTCCAAACGTTGCACAAAAACAATTTGCGAAAATTGGTGATTTCATGAGAAAAATACTTATAAAGAAAAGAAGCAGAACAAAAATGATCGTTTTCCCCCAATAGAGCAGTTTTGTAAAGTTAGCAGAACAATCTTGACGAAAGGTACAGGCCAAGACAGCGGAGATGAAGCGAACTGGAAAACTTTTTTGGGGGTTTTAGACTGCCTGGGGGCTAGCTAGAGCGCTCAAATATCATCTTAGTAAATCTCACCTGATTCAATAATATAGAGCGTGTTCGTGATCCAGTCAACGGCGAGTGATCGCGGATAAACCAGCGACTTTAGACCGAGTTTCCTTGAAAAAAATGAGGTATAGGAAAAAAAGGATGTGGGAATAACCCAAATGGGAAGAGCAAGCGTAGAAAACATACTTTATATGAGAAATATCGCCACTTTCGTCGACGTCAGCACTGAAAGCCGAATGCGAAAGTCGATCTGTCCAGAAGATCTAGACAAACATGAGAATAAGTTTCACAAACTAGAGAGAAAAAGAAAAAAGTCTCCAAGCTAATAAAGAAAGACCCTAGACGGATAGCGTACAGAGATTTGGCAGAGTCAGTATAAGTGGGTGATTGGGACCATAGCGCACATTCTTCTGGTCGCCTGCACTATCTCAACTAGAAAGTTTCCCGTGGAGGGCATAGACGAGCAGAAAAGGGTGTTGCCTTTTCCCGTTCACTGTCCACCAACTTCTCTTTCCTCTCAGAAATGGCTCACCTTTCTGTCCCCGTAATCAAAGTCGATTCCATAAATGAATTCTCCTGAGGCGAGCCGCTTTGGTTCCGTGTTGGGACCGGTAGGATCAAGCCTGCAAATGAGAAAGATGTAAGAATCATATTTGAAGCAGCGCTCCGGGGATCATGAGCATTCCCCATCAAGGTTGAGAAGAGTCTTCTGCGAAACTCACTTGTAAAGCCCCTCCCTCCGTGCCACGAACAACTTCATCGTTTCGGGATTTTGCGAAATACAATACCCACGAGCTGTGAGGTTATCCTGTCCGGGACCATGAACCATCTGAAGAGAAACTGAATAGTCACTAAATAAGAATACTGTTGACTTTCGCACTAACCTGCAAGGAATAGCATTCCCCAATACAGGAACAGGTGAAACCTGGACGATGATTGGCGCATAGCTGATCACAATAACCGAATTCAGCGCATTCGTTCACATCTGAAAACCATACGATTTTTTAGGTCGCCATCAGAGCCGTGATTGGCCAGTAAAATCTCATCTTCTCGGATACTAGTTAGATAAGAATTGCATCGCTGCTGTGAAAGCAGCATTGCAAGTGGGGTCACACGCGACATTCGCACCAAAACATCTATTGTCGCGAAAGTGCTACAATAAGCCGAGGCAACCAGAAGGAAATCGTCGCGCGCGCCAAAACCAGTTTCTAAATATCCCTGCAACCACAAACCTCCTGACCTTCATCCAATCTTCTCTTCTCCTAAAACCGCGATAATGCTAACTTTTCCTAAGCCCACAGGAGGAGAGTGGAACTATTACTGAGGGCAGAATAATTTTTAAAGTAGATCGTCTTCCCTGGGAGCCTAGCATTTTATACGGCAAATCTCAAATCTTGAGCCGTTCAAGCCTACGAGAAAGACAATCTGTCTGAAACATTAGACGCCCACATGAGGTTTATGAAACGGCTTTCCAGTCAAGAATAAGACCCTCAAAACCATTCTATCATTTTTTGGAGTACGGGCTCTATTCCTCACCTGAACAAGTCCTGTGGAATCGCTCGTCCAGTTTATATCCATTTGGACACGTGCAAACTCCTCCATGAGGTGAAGCATGACAGCCTGCTTGGCAACCGAGTGATGGGCACAAATTCTGCGCTAAAACATCGATATTTCGAAATATGCTTCGGACAAAATATAAATATATGATAGAATATGATAACAAACAGATGTGACAGTTTATTTACACCCCGACCGCCATTTTCGCAGTGAAGAAAAAAAGGCGTGGCCGTATTCACAAAGCTCTAGATTCGTGTTCTGGTTTTGGAATGAAAGTCATGGTTAGTCATCAGATAAAGGGAGGGTGGAAATTGCGAGATTATAAGTGGCTTCATAAGAGAAGGATCGAGTTTAGCACAGAACAACACTTTTACACAATTATTACTTTATTTGGCTACAGGTATATAGTTATTGTCCCACTGTCGGCTCGATTGCATTGCCCCAGGAGAGCGTCCTTAATGTTGGGATTTCAGAGGGGGTCCAAGTATTAGGGTCGCTGAGGGAGAGGCGCGTCGTCATTAGGCGCAGAGAAGCTTGTCATATGCTGTTGATTTCATGCGCGACGGCTGTAAACACCTACTCACGCTTTGCCTTAAATACCTCTCCTTTGCGGTTTGCGCGGCACTGCAAAACTTTCCATAAGCTGATGAAGAGAAGTCCCTCCCTCCCTGCTCCTTCCCCACCTCACGGCAAATTTTGCGAATGATTGAGAAGACGAATTGTGGCGACATTAGAGGTGCCAGGTAGTAGCGAAGGAGAAAGTTAGGAAGAGATGGGAGGGGCGTGTTTTAGTAAAAATTCTCGCAAGCGCGCAGGGACGTTCCTACTGCTTCGCCTAATATAGTCAGTGTAAGGGCATTGCTAGTTGAATACAGTTTTCCTATACAATAATGCCAGTCTCAGGAGAAAAGGAGTTTGTTATCTCACCAACAATCGGAGAGCTTTGTAGTAGCAAAGTTCTCACTCACAGCAACTCATCTCAATCAGCCGCCTCATTCGCAGTCGCTTTAGCCTCATCGCACAATCGTAGTTCATCAATACAATGACCGGTACCATTGCAGTGCCATTTACCCGGTGGACAACGGTATTCACCACAATCCTCTTCGTCCGAGTTATCGCCTGAAAATCAAGCGATTTTCCTGGTAACCGCTTACCGAAAATGACTATTTTTTTTTTGGACTTCGATTACCACTTACCGCAGTCATCGTAGTAATCACACTTGAACTTCCTCGGTTGACAACGTTTTGTTCTTACATTGGAATTCACTGGCCGAACATTTTTTGAACTCTGGAAGAAGTTGTACTCATGATACGTTCAGAGGACAGCCAGGTACACCTACCGAGCAATGTATGCTCGGTTCATCGGAACGTGGTCCGGCGCAGTCGCTTGGAGCCGATACACAAACCGCATGATTTTTGAACACACAGTAAGTTTGCGATTGATCGGCAGCATCGAAAACTGGTATATGGAAGGCAGGCGGTATGGTTACATGTGAGCAAAGAATCCTGAAAGACACGGGTGTTACGGGGGATATATCCTCGCCATTAGCCCAGGATCAAATAGGTATCCGGACTGTGGGGTTCGGGTCCTATCCGTCGCACCCAAACTGCGACGTTGCTCACTGTTCGGCCAGCGGCACTCATCACGACTTGTGTATAGAGAAAAATTGCTAATTGGATGAAGTGAAAATATTAATATTGACTTTATGGTACGCGGCATCGCAGCTTACGCTACAATTTTGGCTCGCAGCGGGGGCTGGGCGTTAAAAGAGGGCTAGGTTTGGCGCGCGCACAGCCAATTTTCACCACTGCGGTCTGCTTGCTATTTAGCTCCCACAGCAGGTGAGAGAAGGACTTGGCGACGCGGATCGAATAAAGCCAGCCTTGCTCCTGAATTGCCCTAGCAGCGAATAAGATCGTACATAGCCATTAGCCACTTGTGGCCACCATCATCCACGGCAGGACTGGGAAGAAGATAATTTAGTCTGTCATTCCAGCTTAGCGTCTATTCCGAGATCCGTGAAAGTGTCTTCGCTTCACAATCTTCGTGATCCGGGTTTCTTTCGCTTTAACGAGTCAGCTACTGGCTTCCCGAGTTGCGGTGAATACAGTAACTAGCCGGCATGCGGTATGCATTTTTGAGCTCGTTGGATCATGGCACTTTTGCGTCTGATTACTTCTCTGCTGCGTGTCGCGCACGCGACGCTACTAGAGTCGGATCTCCTGCCCAGTACCCAGGGTTCAAGGATCCACGTCCTCAACGGGGCTCCTCGCGAGACCCTTGGCATCAATCTCCATTGACTTAGGCTATTACCTTGGGCAATAACAAACCTCTACCATTATAATCGGCTTACCTTTTCGTCACTCAGATCTCGACAGTCATATTTGCCATCGCACTTCTTCGACATATCAAAACACTGCCGTCCATCTGCACACATGAAGACACTGCCATCGTTACTATCGCAATCCACTGGATTTGCTGCTGCAACATGGAAGGATCTAGCTAACGTTGAAGCAGGGGTTCTTATTAGGGAAGGGAATGTAGCTCGAAGTGGTCGGTTGGAACTAGATGTATACCGTTTGAAGTGCCTTGAGACAGTGAGCCGTCTTCCTTTTGCTCGGGACCTTTCTGAACAAAACTGCGAAATTTTTTGGGGGCAATAGTCATACTCAAAATGAATGCCGGGCGTAAGGCTGCCATGAATGTAAGGCATTTGCATTAATTTACAACTAAATGGCAGGACCGCATATAGTCGCATTTGTTGTAGACGCTGGGGAATGTGAGGGGCTTGGTTTGGAGCGGCACTAGCACGTTTTCCACCGATTCTTGTCGTTTGCCCGCTTCAACAAATGGTGAAGCAAATGGAACGGGCTGGCGCCGCGCCAAACCCAGCCTTCCTGACACATACCAGCGTCTGCAGCCACCCAGCTACAATCCCACATTCCAAGAACATGAACTTGTTCCGAGAAACGAAAGGCGAGTTGGCGCAGTCGTTGATCCCCGCACACGACAGAGCGTATGACCGGCGTGATTTGGAGCGCAGCTGGGGTGCCGTTTCAACCAATTATGTCATCCTGAGTCCGCTACAGTTGGTGGAAAGGCTGCTCCTGACCACGTTCCAAGCCACGCCCCTCCACACGCCCTGTCGTTTGCAGGGACTGTAATCATTGCTCAGCCACACATCAGACGGTATAGATCTCATTCCAATCGGCTTTTTCGACCTACTGGCCTACCCTGCTGGTAGGACCCTTACTCACTACTGCTCGTCTTTTAGCCTCGGATCTCTACCACTTTTTCTAGTAAATCAGGTAAACTACCAGTATACGATAACTACTAAAAAGAAGAACGTTCCATAAATGAATTCAAAACGTACGACAGTCCTTTTCGTCCGAACCGTCGGCACAGTCGGTGATGTTGTCACACCGCTGATATTCTGCGATACAGGACACGCTGTGCCATTCGTACTTATCACATTGCCACTGATCTGCTTTGCAGCCAGGATGAGCTGAAATCATTCGAAACTACTGAATCTGAGCAATGAGGCGAAAAAGGCGCAGTTCGACTTGGAGGGGGGGGGGGAGAGAAATGTGCAATTGTGCTCCTTCCCATGAACGTGCTCACTGCTCTACAAGGGGAAGTAGCGAAAGTGCGAAAATGCCCTCCGCAAGCCGAATAGCTCCAAAAAAATTTACAAGCGTTATGCTATTTTTCTAGTGAGTTCGATAAACCCTTTTCCTTGATATTAGAAAGGTTCGTGAGGTAATCCATTCGTCGTGCCGGACGCGTGCAACCGAGGTCAACACCTATTAATCCTCAAACATCGGCCGAAATTGCGGCACATTACAGACACGATTTCCAGCCATTTTATGTGGTCCCGGAACTCGTACAAACACTTTCTCGCCTCGCGAAGGTGTCGTAAACGAGGTAAAATACGCGGGAAATCTTTTTTGGGTTGTGCTGTAGTGAGTACGGTAGAGAAAGAAACCTGTTTCGAGAAAAGACGGGGAAGAGAAAATAAAAAAAAGTAAAATAGAAGGAAGAAAACTTTTTTCAATAGTCCAGACCAAAACAGGAAGAAGCTTTGAAAACCCACAAAAACTAATTAAAAATGTTTCCTTCAATTATCGGTTGGGGAGAAATCCCCCAGCTACTGAAAAGAAATCGACCGGCACGGACAACGATGGACAGCAATCATCGGCTCAGGGTGTTCTTGACCCTTTCAGGTGCGCGGAAAGTAGCTTATCGAAAAAGAGTCAAGGGAAAGAGAGATAAACGAGCCTATCGAGTTCGATGAGCTACTCCTGAATAAGCCGAGAATAATTTCAGAGGGAAGGATCGCTTTCATGGACGGGGAATACCCAACATCCTTACATCTGAGAAAACACACGCAAGTACAAATTTGGGTAATCGAAAAAAAGAACACAATTTCAGGTTAACGACCTCGCCAGGATCAGGGACCCTTCATCCTAACCAAAATTTCTCCAAACCTGACGGGACACTTGAGCAAGGAAAAATGCGCCGTCGGGCCCATTCCTTCAAAAGAAGCCGTCGTTGAGCATTGTTCTTTAGAGAATGCGCCGCGTCTTTGACCCCCATGCAGAATGGCGCCTATAGACTTACGGTCATTTCGCGGCGCATGATGGGGCGCGTCAGGGAGGGGGAGGGGGCTGGCGAGGCGTCCATCCGCTTCTCTGCGCGGTTCCTGTTCGCCTGCCACCTTTCAAAATTAAAATTATGGTGTGAGGTGCTCCGAAGGTAAAGCAGTGTTTGAATATACCAATAATCTAGAGTTGCGGAAATTTCCCAACACCATATCAATTTTCATTCACTGGGTGATCTTGAAGGCAAAGCTCATGCTGACCGTGTAGGCGGAGTCAGGCCTACAATACGCTTGCCTCTCTAAGGGACCTATCGTTCTTGAAAATTTAAGGCAGACCAAAGAACCGATAAGAAGAAGGTCGCATAGGGACTAACTCCCCTCGTGTGATCAATGGGACCTAACGAAGAAACAAAGACTTACGGCAATCTTTCTCGTCTTCACCATCAGAGCAATCTCCAGATCCGTCACATCTGAAACAGTCACCAGATCAGACCTGTCATAAATAGTAATGTCACAAGTCAAGAACGATTTCTCGCAGTCAAATGGTGTCATGAGAATCTCCAGATTCCTCCCGAGGTACACAGACCACGAAGGTCCTTGGTCTGTCTACCTCGGGAGGAATCGGTCTGAATTTTCGCCAGCGCCTAGCGTCCATAGCAACCTTGGGAATCTGAAGTACGGAGCTCCGAAATGAGTGAGCCTTTCCAGGTGGTTAGCGGGCCACTCACTCCGGAACTCCCTGCCCCTTAAACAGGGTGGGTTATCATAGAGGCGATGCATAACGCTGTTCGTCCCCGAAGAAGACAGCCCTACATTCCTTATTGAGGTCCAGCTCATAACATGGGGGGGGGGTGTACTGGCACAGTTGCGGGAGCACTTATGTCACTCCGAATCATTTTGCGATCCTCTTCGCCCATAATGTTCTATTTAGCGCGTTCTTTGTAGCGTACTTATTCAACCTGGTCTTAAAGGAGCTGCTCCTGTAGGAGGACTCAGGCCCAGAAGCCTCCCACGGTGCAAGCTGCTTCTCTTTATCCTGTTTCAATGGATCGGTGCGCCAATCTGGAAGGCATAACGGCACGTCCTGCTCCACTCCTCTTGAAGCGTGCAAGAGGATTTCAGTGGTCACTTCCAGAGCACAAAAGTCTCGCACCCCTAAACAGAGCGGTGTTCGAGAAGGGCTCCTCCTGCCGCCGGCGAAAAACAGTGCAAAGAGCCACTCCTTCGAATTTCCTCTGTTACGAACCCTCCCTCCCACTAGAGCCCCCATTGTACCTAACATCTTCGTGAATTTCACCGATTTCGTACCAATTCTCCGAATTTTTTCCCAAAAAAACCACAGCTGCTGGGAGGAAGGGGATTGGTGAGTAAAGTCTCATCAAAGATTAATTGTGGAACGGTCTAGTACAAACCTCCATTCGGCCCGTATACATTTGCCGTCGTTGCATCGGAAATCTGTCTCGGTACAGACAGTTGACGCGCTATTCACTGAGGCAGAGATCGGTTGTGATCGTGTTCGCGTCGAAATCGAAGGAGGCGAGTCGACTGAAATTGAAAACGATATCACTTGGCTATGAGAATGGGCTGTCTTTACTATGAGAAACTGGAGAGCAGAAAAAAAACCGAGACATAGAAAGGTAATTATCTTGTTTTGCGCCCCGCAGATCCAGGCAATAGCAAAGCTACAGTAACGTGATGTTACATCTAGACGCAGTACTTGAATGCTACGCAAGAAGACGCGGTGCGTACGCGATGCCGATGTATACACTCGGCGACCGCGACGCCGAGAGAATGGAACAGCGTTCGCTGTTCAGCTTGGGATGGGTATTTTGCACTGAACTCTAGTTTTGGGGGATTTATCGTGCCAACTGCCTTTAAGCAAAACCTGTAAATTCCTGTGAAGCTGCAGAATGCTAAAGTGAGCCACTTCGATTAAGCGGACCCGAAGGTCCCGCTTAAGACAAAGAGAAACTGCGCCGAAAAGTCTTCATTCCGTCTTTCTCCGGTTTTTTTAACATGGAATTTAACCCGCGCAGTGCCGAGCCGGCTGTCTCACTATGACCACGACTCTCAGCATGTGCCACAAAAACCAAATGAGTATAGGAGTATTGACTTCTGCTCAAAGATAGTCCCCACGCTTAACCAGCGTCCTTCTGCATGAAAAATAGTCTGGTGCTCAGTCTCTAAGATTATCCACCTTTCGCTGCTTCACAGCAAGAACGAAGGCGCCGGTGCCCTCATAAGCGGCAGTTCTGGCTCCTCCCTAGTTGCGCCGCCCACCAAAACTCAAGGGTTATTTTGTGTCACAAGTTCAGTTTAATCCTGCGCTTGTCGTTTTTTTACCGGTAGATCGTTCTAGCATCAGAC